TTTTATTTTAATGATGCTTATCATTCTGTGTCTGACTGGCAAGCTGGTGATGGCTGTTGGCCGGGGACCTCACTTCCTGACCCCATGACATGACTGTCATCACAGCACAGCAGCTGGCTCCTTTCAAAGTGAATGATCCAAGAGAGGGAGGCAGAGGCTGCAATGCCTTTTATGGGCTAGCCTCAGGAATCACACAGTCACTCCTGCCGTATTGTACTGATCACATAGGACCAGCATGGACTCCTTGTGGGTGGAGATTGTACAAAGCCACAAAACCAGGAGGTGTGGACCACGGGAGGCCATCTTGGAGGCTGGCTGCTGCATAACATGTTCTAGATTCTCTTATTACAAGAATGGCCTCAGAATGACCTGTGGGGCCCTAGAGTGAATGGGACTTTAAGATTCAACTTAGTTTAAATCCAAAATCCAAGAAGACCATAGATCTTGGTTATTTCCCTAATTAGGAATAATCTCAAACCGGGACAGACCTCAACACTGATCCCAGTGCATTTTGTCTCACACCCCAGACCCACTGCCGCCTAGTTTCATGCCTCTATTTGGCTTAAAACTAAATTGATCTTTACAGGTAGATAGGCAAAAGTACCAGGTATAATAGGTCTTTTGACAGCTATTCTGTACACGGGAGATAAGTGGCCAGATATTCTTATGATGCAATGATTATGGAGGCAGAGCTTATGTGTGCACTTTTAGACCTGAAAGCAATGAATTATTATCAACATAATAGGGATTTTTATTTTTTAATAAAATAAAATAATGGGAAGAAAAAGCACACTTGTTACTGACTTTGATTTTTAGTAGACATTGTACATTTTGCTTCCTCTAACTAAATTCTTAGCTCTTTTAAGCCTCTAGTAAGAAGTGCAAAGATTTATAATCAATATTTACTCAGTCATGGTGCCAATTAAAAATAACCCAAATGAACAACAATAGGAAAATAGTTAAAGGAAATAATGTAATACATCCAGATAATGAAATATTATATAGCCATCAAAAATGATATTTGTAAAAAAAGAATTTTTTTAACACAGTCTTACTCTGTTATCCAGGCTGGAATTCAGTGGTGTGATCTCAGCTCACTGCAACCTCCACCTCCCAGGTTTAAGCAATTCTTCTGCCTCAGCCTCCTGAGTAGCTGGGATTACAGGCACCTGCCATGATGCCCTGATAATTTTTTTGTATTTTTAGTAGAGATGGGGTTTCAACATATTGGCCAGGCTGATCTCGAACTCCTGACCTCAAGTGATCCACCCTCCTCAGCCTCCTAAAGTGCTAGGATTACAGACATGAGATAAAAAACAAATTTTTAAGGGATAAGGTCTTGCTTTATTGCCCAGGCTGGAGTGCAGTGGCAGGATCATAGCTCACTGTAACCTCTTACCCTGAGCTCAAGCAATCCTCCCAATTTGGCTTTCAAGCAGCTAGGACTACAGGAGTGCAAAAGCACAATGGCTATTTTTTAACATTTTTTTAGAGATGGGTTCTTTCTATATTGCCCAGGCTGATCTGGAACTCCTGGCCTTAAGTGATCTCCCCTACCTCAGCCTCCCAAAGTGCTGGGATTATAGGCATAAGCCACTGCACCCACCCAAAAAGTTTTTATATAGTTGGAAAGCAGGTAACACATAATATGTGAATCTATCTGGGAACAAAACTGTCTATCCCTAATAACTTCAGCAATATTTATATACCCATGTAGACAAGAATAGGATAAATGCTGGAAGGAAATATACCTAATATCTGTGTATGGTAGCATTATAAGTGGTTTTTCTACATTTTTTATATTTTCCAGATTTTCTACAATGAGTATCTAGTCCCTTTATAATCATAAAGATAAATAAAACTTTTAAAAGTAGTATCAGTTCTCAACTCAACAATAAAGAATTGATCTTTGCTGGAGTTTGCCCTTTGTCCCCAAGTGAACCATAACTACTCCATTACTCACACAATAAGAGACCAATGGGAACCATGTCTCATTCATTCCTTTACTTCATTTCTTGTACCTCCCCTTCATTCCCCCAAAGAATTCTCACTGTCTTATAAGAATCCAGGTATAGGACAAGCTGGATTTAGTGGGATGAAATTATAAAATCCTTTTACTTTTATGACTTGATTGCCTTTCAAACCTTTCAACTGGCTCTCTCTCCTGCAACCTTAGATTCTGCTACATTGAGAGATCTTTTCCAGTCACTTTCACAGTTAACAAACTATCTCATTCTCCTACGCTCTTGAACATGAATGAATCTTGCAAACTTAAGGCTGTATTAAAAAAGAAAAAGCAAGACAGGGATCTCCAGCCTTTTTGGCACAAGGGACCAGTTTCACGGGAGACAATTTTTCCACAGACTGGGGAAGTGGGAGTGGGGGCAGATGGTTTTGGATGAAACTGTTCCACCTCAGATCATCAGGCATTAGATTCTCATAAAAGGCGTGTAACCTAGATCCCTCACATGCACAGTTGACAGTAGAGTTTGTGCTCCCATGAGAACCTGCTGATCTAATGGCTGCCATAGCTCAAGCTGTAATGCTTGCTTATCTGCTGCTCACCTCACGCTGTGGGGCCCAGTTCCTGACAGGCCATGAACCAGTACTGGTCTGTGGCCCAGAGACTAGGGACCTCGGTCTAAGAGTATCTACCATGTGATACTATTTACATAAAGTTTAAAAATGCACAAACAATTCTGTAACTTGCTTAGGGATATATGCATATATTGGAAAAGTATTAAGAATTTTAAGGAAAAGAGAACCCCAAAGTCCCAGTGGTGGTCCAGTCTGGTGAGGGAAGAATAGAGCGTGTGCTCTTGGAGGAATACACTAGGGCCTCAACCACATTGTTGATCTTTGATTTTTTAAACTGAGAGGTTGGCACATGGGCATTGTCATGTTGTACTTCTTTATGTCTTTTGAATGCCTTATATCTTACATGATGACTCTGTAATCCAGTTTAATCTAAATTTAAAAAAATTTGGAGACACAGTCTCAGTATGTTGCCCAGGCTGGAGTGCAGTGATGTGATCTTAGCTCACTGCAACCTCTGCCTCCCGGGTTCAAGCGATTCTCCTGCCTCAGCCTCCTGAGTAGCTGGGACTACAGGTGCACACCACCACACCCAGCTAATTTTTTGTATTTTAGTAGAGACAGGCTTTCACCATGTTGCCCAGGCTGGTCTTAACTCCTGACCACAGGCCTCAGCCTCCCAAAGTGCTAGGATTACAGGCTCGAGCCACCACACCCAACCCTAAATCAAAATTTTAATCTCTCATTCAATATATATTTTCTTCCCTTTCCCTATGTTTCACAGCCCAACAAATCTCAGAGACTTGCAGTAATGGAGAAGATAGGGTTTATCTTTTTTCTTCCTCTTCTCTTCAACTGGGTCTCTGCAGTAAAAAACGTGGATGGGAGAGAAGAGGGGAAAGGATGGGGATAAAGGGAGCACAGAGTATCACACCTAATGGGGCAATTGAAATCTGGCCTTGGTGCCCTCACAGAGACCAATGGAGGGTGCTTTTAGGTTTTCTTACTAGTTACTCTACTCATTTCTCCCACCTCCCCACTGCACCATTACCTAGTGAAATGCAGTGTACCCTCTGGTCAGCCTCTTAGTGCTCACTCCCCAGAGGTCCTGTCCTCACAGGCCCTTTCTGCTAGGGTCACCTCATTGGGCAGGCAGGCCCTTCAAGACAGCTCAAGCCCCACCTCTTTTTACAGTGTCCCCTCCTGACTCACAGAAAAGATTCAGCACTTTGCCCTCGGAACTCTGCAAGCACAGGACGTATCTACTGGAATCTTCTCTCTCCCTTTGCCATCAGGCAGCTCCATCTAGCATCAAACCTTTAGGCAAGAGTCAGGTACCAGTCCATGTGATCCACAAACTGCCCAGGACGCAGTTCAAGGTCCCCATGGAATTCACTTAACACCCCTGCACTTCCTCCTCTCACAGAGAGGTGAGCCCTCCCACAATTCCTCCCGGAGAAATATTTACAACCTATCTGCTCAGATCCACTTCCTCTGCATGGACAGAAGGACAGTGGGCAGAGCAGTTCAGGCACCACCTTGGGACGGCCTCTCTTTAGAAGGTGTGGTGCAATGTTGCATGTGGTTCTCACCAGGAGTTTCAGAATAGGGAAAGTCTCACTTAACGTCCTGTTATGCAAAGAATACTTCACAAGGTCCCCCAAAATGGGCTGGTGGCTTCATGTCAAAGCTTGACTCAGTAAAAATCAATTATACAGAAGAGGTGAAAACAATGGCCTTATGTTTATCACTAAGAGACTGGCTTAATCCAAGGGTGATATTTAAAAGATCAAGAGGACCAGATGGGCCAGGTTCCCCAGGCAGTCCTCCTCCGTCAATATTTGTACAAACCACATTACCCTCTGCTTTTTCCTTTTGGCCATAGCTGCCAGAAAAACTCAAACCTATATTCAGTGCCCAGCTTCAATAAGTAACGCGTCCGATATACCTATTTTTGTTTGTATCTGTCCTATTTAATTTTTAGTTTCAATTTACGAAAGTATTATTCATATTATCTGGGAAAGTAGATGGGGATAGGATCCCTACATAAGTATTAACAACTAAAGAACACTTGGGGCCGGGTGTGGTGGTTCATGCCTGTAATCCCAGCACTTTGGGAGGCTGAAGCGGATAGATCACCTGAGGTCAGGAGTTCGAGACCAGCCTGGCCAACATGGCAAAACCCCATCTCTACTAAAACTACAAAAATTAGCCTGTCATGGTGGTGCACACCTGTAGTCCCAGCTACTGGGGAGGCTGAGGCAGGAGAATTGCTTGAACCTTGGAGGCAGAGGTTACAATGACCTGAGATCACACCACTGCACTCCAGCCTGAGTGACAAAGCGAGACCCCACCTTAAAAAAAATTAACAAAAAGAATGAATTTGTATGGAATTTAGGCTCCTTGCTGTAAAGTATATTATTTCTCCTTCAGACTAAAAAATGTCATTTATTTGCAATAGGTCAAGAAAAGTTTTAAAAATGTGGCAGTTTATGGACCAGTCTGATATTGAGACCATGAGGAGCCTGAAGGACGCTATGGCCCAGCACGAGTCCTCTTGTGAGTACAGAAAGGTGGTGACGCGTGCGCTGCACATCCCTGGCTGTAAGGTGGTTCCGTTCTGTGGGGTGTCTCTGAAGGAGCTCTGTGAAGTGCTCGACGGCGCCTCCGGCCTCGTGAAGCTTTGCCCACGGTACAATTCCCGAGAGGAAACTTTAGAGGTAAGGCCTTTCGGAATCATGGCCTGAGGAGCCACTGTTGCCGCCTGTCTTATCAGGTCCTGCCTGTGCTCACTAGAGAAATGGTCACTGATTGAACACAGGGTTGACAGTGTTGTTACTGTTTCTAGGTAGCACATGGATCCTTGGATGTTCTGAAGAAAAGAATGCCAGCTAGCACTGTGGGGGGCATAGTGTTGTGAAGTCAGTTTTTTTATTTATTTGTTTTGTTTGTCTGTTTTGAGACACAGTTTTGCTCTTGTTGCCCAGGCTGGAGTGCAATGGCGCAATCTCCACTCACTGCAACCTCGGCCTCCCAGGTTCAAGCAATTCTCCTGCCTCAGCCTCCTGAGTAGCTGGGATTATAGGCGTGCACCACCACACCTGGCTAATTTTGTATTTTTAGTAGAGACAAGGATTCACTATGTTGGTCAGGCTGGTCTTGAACTCCTGACCTCGGGTGATCCGCCTGCCTCGGTCTCCCAAAGAGCTGGGATTACAGATATGAGCCACCACGCCCGGCCTGTGAAGTTAATTTTAATGTATTAGGTTTAATGTGTAAGTACAAGTTAAAAAGGTTGTTGTTTTAGATTTTTTTCAAAGATTGACAGGTTTTTCTTACTGGGTGGGAATGTCTGGATGCAGGGAATAAAGAAAGTCAATGAGCGTATTAAGTTTTCCACATCATTGGAAGAAAAAAGAGGGGAAGTCAACACTGCCTTATTTCCATCCCTTGTGGAAAGATGCTGGGGCGCCTGGAGCCTCATCTAGAGACAAGCTCCAGGCTCCTGATCCCCGGGGCCTAGTTCCTCCCAGGCCTGTTGCCTCCTCTTCCTGATTCCCAGAGCAGAAGAGATGGTGTGAGCTTTGACCCAGGGCATCGGGCATTGGAGAGAAGGGGGATTGACAAACTGGAGGGAAAAGATAAGCAAACCTTTCTCTAAGGTATTTTAAAATGAAAGAAGTTACTAAATGGAAAGAATTTTATGGAGATTTTGGGAAGTTCTTTACCCTGGACCAAACCCAAATCTAGGATCATTCCTGCCATGATGATGGAACCCACTATTGACCTTTCTCTCTCTCTCTCTCTCTCTCTCTCACACACACACACACACACACACAGAGAGAGAGAGAGAGAGAGAGAGAGAGAGAGAGAGAGAGAGAGAGAGAGAGTCATGCACACACCTTCTTCATGGGAGTGGGAAGACTCTCCTCAACCTTCAGCCTCTTCTTTGTCACCTGGGAGCAAAGGCATCACTTGATATCAGGAAGGCTTAAGAGCCCCTGACAGGTACAGGCAGCACCACCGGCATCTCTCTGTGTTATGAGCTGGGATAAAACGGCAAGAAATGGAGGAAGAAGTTTAAAGGAAGCCTCCCAGGCCACACCCCTCACTCCATGTCTCTTATCCAAGGCAGAGCTCTCACCTCTGAAGGAAGAAGCTTTCTGATCAACTGGACAAACAACAAGAGCTTAAAAACCAGGAAGAAGCCACTGTGTTGTTATAGGACACGAGCAATAAAGCAAAACATCACCTCTTCTCAGTGTTTTGCTTGGGCCCAGTCATTTTATCTGGTTCCGTAGAATAGCATACTTTACTCATGATTTTTCTCAATTCTCACTACAAGGATAAAATAACCATGCCCTTCCTCTGCGAAGTGGCTAATCTTCTCCTTAGGGAACCCTGAAATAATACTGTTTTTTGTGTTTTAAATGTGAAGTGGAGTGTCGATTACTAGAGGGATTAAAGTTGTCTCAGTGGAAACAAGGGTGAGTTTTGATATTTCATGTGGTGAAATGAAAAAATGTTTTTCCTGGAGGCTCTTGTTTTCTTTCCCATTAAATAGGCACAAATGCCATTATTTATTACTTTATGATTTCGTTTCCCTAGCCAAGTAGGTTATCCAGGCATATTAAGTTGCAATAGCAAATTCTCGATATATTTTTCTGTAGTTCGTAGCAGATTACAGTGGACAAGATAATTTCTTACAACGAGTGGGACAAAATGGCTTAAAGAATTCGGAGAAGGAGTCCACTGTCAACAGCATCTTTCAGGTCATCCGCAGCTGCAGTCGAAGTCTGGAGACAGAGGAGGAGGACAGCCCCGGTGAAGGGAACAGCTCCAGGAAAAGTTCCCTGAAGGACAAAACCTGATGGCAGTAAGTTTTACACTGTAGAAGTGGGGAATGCCCACGTCTTCTTTTTTCCTGTTGATGAGTTGTTTCCTACTTCAGCATAGTTTCAGATGACACCTCATCAAAACCTGCCACTTTTATCATGAAGCCACACTTCTTTATCATCAAACCTTACCAATTCCAAATTTGAATTTATCTTTCTTATTTTGCTGCTTTGCTCTAAAATTACTGCTCATAATTTAACTTCTTACCACCTATTACCCCTTTAAAAAAAAAAAAACAAACCTAGAGCTATCCTGCCATTTCTAAAAAGTCAACACATTAAATTTCAGGAGGAGAGCTGTGATCTTTTATTTCCTAGTTTTCCAACAGTGGGTTTTATTAATTCTTAGGTGGGGTACTAGGGTGGGTATTAAGATATTTTTTAATCAAATCTACTAATTTAGTTAGGTCTAGGTGATACATAGAAATCAGTATTTTTAGCTCTCACAACCTCTGGGTGATTCTGAGTTGAGAGTTAAGGGCGTCACTTTGAGAAACACTGCTCTGTGACGTGTGTTAAAATTAACCCTACACACACACGGCATCTGCAGATTTTTAATTGTTAAGTCCTTCCAGTTGCTCAGAGATTATTTCAAAGATTTTTCACTTGGCAGGTTGCTGACATTAGTGGCAAACTATATATAGAGAGAAGACAATCTACAAATAAGCACATCTGCAGAGGAAGCCTCTCAGAGCCATTTAAGTTCTTAATATCTCTTTCTCTCTCTCTCTCTCTCTCTCTCTCTCTCTCTCTCTCTCTCTTTCTCAGTATCTAGGTATATATATATTTCTTCCAACAAAAGATTTTGTAGATGCTTATGGAATAAATATGAGTAACTGAGGATATTAAAGAAAAGAAAAATAAAGATAGGAGAAAAGAAAACATACGAATATGTGTACTATGTAGTCTACACAGTGACTAAATTTTGTTCTGAGATTCTTAGCAGTCAAAGGAAAGAGGAAATCACAGTTCATTGTAAGTTTCACAGTATTTGTAAGAAAGATTAAACAGATGTCTGGGAGAAGAATGCCTTTTCCTCATCCTGGGATCTGGCTGAAATTTCTTCCTTAAATCCTACTATCAATTCTAGGGTACATCATATAGGAGTAGATAAAATAAAGAATTTCACGTGGCTCTTTTTACAATAACCTTCATCTGGGGCTGTGTGTGTGTTTGTGCATGTGTGTATGTTATTCAGCCTTTCTGAAATACCTTCAGCACTGCCACTTTTACTGAGTCTCAGACCCTAGACTATCCTTTCCTTTCCCTTGAGGTTCCTTCAAGTGATAAATTTCTTGCATCATTTCATCACCTGTTATGATATTTTTGTTTCTAATTTTCTCCTTAGTCTCTTGTCTTCTTCCTAATGATCTTATCAACTACATCCTAAGAACATTTCTCTTCCACTGCCCATTTTCCAAACCCTGCTGCAAGCACTCTTAGAAGGGAAGAAAAACATAAAAATGCAAACCTTTCTTTTACAAAACCTGTGAAGTCATATTGAAATCCTCACTGAAACCTGTGTACCTAAATACCAGTGATAGCTTCCTTACCTCAAGTGACTGCTATTCTGAAAGGAAGCTCAACACACAACATAAGTGGTGGGACTGTTTCACAGAATTCACCGGAACCAGATCATCAGGCACTACTTCTGTGGCCATCTGCCAGGATGTGGGAATCCATTGCTGATTCAGAGCCCCATGTTAAAATGTCCAGCACAGGGTTAAGTGTGCCAAAAATGTGCAGATTGAAAGGCCCATAGGAATTATGCTTTGTTGATCTGGCTGAAACAGAGACTCTACAAACAGCAACCTCCAGCCCCTGTTCACTTGGCAACCACCAGCCCTGTGAAAACTACAGCAAAGAAAGAAGGGACAATCTCAAGGTCCTTTGGTTCACCCCGCCTACAGGGTGCTCTTATAATTCTTCCCAAACCTCACAGCTACTCCTGCCAGAAAACCACTAGAAACACTCATAGAAATCTCAAAAAGCGATTATAAAAAGTTCAAGATTTCTTTTTGCTGGGTAGCGGTGGCTTATGCCTGTAGTCCCAGCCATTTGGGAGGCCAAGGCAGGCAGATCACTTGAGTCCAGGAGTTCGGGAGCAGCCCGGGCAACACGGTGAAACCCTGTCTCTACAACAACAACAAAAAAGACTTCAAGATGTCGGCAGGAAGGGAATTGGGTTGAGAAAATCTTGAAATGTCAATGGGGTCTTCAAGTAGGCTTGTCTAACTCCTGTACAGATGAAGAAGTTGTGCCCAGTGAGCTGAAGCCACTTGCCTAACTAATCAATAGTAGCACTGGGTCATGAGCCTGACCAGGTGCTCAGTCACAGGGGATAATGCTTTGTCCTGCAACATTTAAGGCATTTCTTTTGATTGTAGAGGGGCTAACCCTCAGCCTCTTTTTATGTCTAACTCCTGAAGATTAGGAACATCTGAATTCTGAAAGCATTTCAATTACATTTCGTATGAATTACAATGCTCATTAATACTTTTTTATTTGCTGGCATAAAGAATAAATAAGCTATGCCTGTGCATGCTTTTAAAAAGGGGTCTGTTTAAAAACCTACAAAGGAATGGAAACCTAAAAGCAGCACGTGGCACCATTGCTGGGAGATGGAAATTGGGAGTATTAAGGAGTATAGAGAAGAGTATAGAGTCCTATAGGAGCTGCAAGTTCTTATTGCCATCATTTTCAATATTGTTGACTTCTTTGGCATGCTGCACCTTAAGAAGGATCTGTACATTTGGAGAAATGAGATCTAAGTAGGTGATGACCGAAACCTAGAACGGAGATTGTTTGAGCTAATTAATAACTCAGATCTTTCAGTCACATTGCCTGGGACTGAATTTTGACACCACCACTTACTATTTCTGTCACCTAGGTAAGTAGCTGAATCTTACTAGGTCTCAGTTTTGTCATCTGTAAACTGGGAATGACAATACTACTTGATAAGGTTTTTGTGAGGATTACGTGAGAGATATATATAAATTAAGAAGAACGCACAGCACTGTCTAAGTGCCAATATAAATGGTGGCTATTGTGATTAATGTGTGCCTCACACCCTTAAAATGCCAAGCTGAGGCTCTGAGGGTGATATGGTTTGGCTGTGCCTCCAACCAAAATCTCATCTTGAATTATAATCCCCAGGTGTCAAGGGAGAGACCAGGTGGAGGTAATTGAATCATAGGGGCGGTTTCTCCCATGCTGGGCTCATGATAATGAGTTCTCATGAGATCTGAGAGTTTTATAAGTGGGTAGTAGTTCCTCCTGTGTTCATTCGCCTTCCTGCCACCTTGTGAAGAAGGTGCTTTGTTCCCCTTCACCATCCACCATGATTGTGAGTTTCCTAAGGCCTCCCCAGCTATGCTGAATGGTGAGTTAATTAAACCCCTTTCCTTTATAAGTTACCCAGTCTCAGGCAGTTCTTCATAAGAGCGTGAAAACAGACTAATACAGGCAGCTCCAGCACTTAGGTGTGGACACTCTTGGCAGCAGTCACCATTTCAGAAGCACCCCTCAGTCATCCTCCTCTCCCTTACTGCAAAGAGCTGTTTTCTGTGTCCTTCAACCCCAGTAGCCTCATCAAAGACATGCCTGGAAAATAATCCAACCCCACAGGGATAGGAAAGAAAAAAAGCTAAGCATAAGAAAGTAAAATACCTGAGAAAAGATCATCGTTACCAGGATTAACGGCACGTACGCAAGTACGCATGTGGATGCCCCAAATCATAAAAGGATAGGAAATCAGTTATTCTTCACTGGAAAAGATGCAGACAGGCCTCAGCCTTTCCAACTCCCAACTCACAACACCCTGTATCTGCTCCAGCTGCCTCAGCCCAGCCCAGACCTTCCCAGTCTCACTCCCCGGCTTTGCTGGGAATACCTGGGATCCTGTATTTCTCTCTTTCTGCTTCTTTGGCCAACACCTCAGACCCATCGTCTGTGATTTATGACAAAGAAGGCCATTTTCCCACTGCCTGCACAGCATTCACCCTAGGCTTGTTTCTCACTTAAATCCCAACTTGAAACTTGGATATCCTTTTTACAGAGAAGCTCCATTTGTATTGGTGGCTTTGTTCTACGATACTAACTTAGTAAATGCAAGCCAGACAACAATATTATTAGCGATATTTAAGATGGTAATATGTATTGAGAGCCTATGTTTAAGCAAACACTGTCCTAAAGTCTTTCCATATATTAAATGCTTTAACCTTAACAGTTCCACTTTACTCTCACAGCCAGCAGGGCCAGGATTTATATTCGGGCAGGCTGGTTCCAAAACCAACAAACTGCTCAGATATCAGAGAATGCTTATAGTCAAGGAAGGTGCTAGGTTAATTAAAAGCAAGAATTTTCCAGAAGGGAGCATTAAAAACACAAGATTTTTATTAGAGAGAACAGCTGTAGCAAGTCCTTTGGAAAGGACATAGATTTACTTCTATCTTTAAAAATTTTAAATTAGACTTGTTTACCAGGTTCAAGAGATTCTGTTAAATTTGCAGGAAGCAAAGGAACCCTTACAAAGAAAATATTTAACCAGGTTAACAAATACCTGTTGATCATCCAATATAAAATTTTCATCAGGAAACATTAGACAAGTCTGTCTATTTATGGTTTCTAACTAAAGGATACCGTGGAAGCTCTTTAGGAGTGGGATAAAAACCTTTTCTATTTTTACTCCTTGGTCCTCTCCTTAAGACATACAACCTAAGTTTGACAAGGTAGTTTTTTTGCTGGTAAACCACATCTGTATCTTTGGTTAACATTATTTAGTTCCTAAATGACTCTTAATATTCCACCTTATCCCTTCTTGTAAACTCACAGGAAATTATCTTCTAAGAGAATCAGGCACAAAATTGCATAACATTCACTCTGTCATCTAATAGACAAAAGCTACTAGCTTCCTGCTCGAAATGAACTTATTTCATTACAAGCAATTGTCAGTTTTATTCTGAGCATTCCTCTCT